AAACATCGAAAACAAACCACTAAGAAACAAACGTAATCACAGAGTCCCGAAATGAGACACTTCATCGAAGAGGATCAGTAACAGAGTCCGCCGGGAGTAGTCGTCGATTCCCATAGGATAAACGACGACCACAAGTGTAATTTACTTAGAAAAGATCCGGGAAAAGAAAAAAGGTACATATCAGATACCATTGCGTGATAATTGTTTTTTGAGCAACGGTACGAATGACAACGTCTAACACGCACAAACCGAAACCGAACCTGAGTGATTTACAAATTACCACGCCTGACACCGACGCAGAGAAATGAAAAATGAAACCCGCCAAAATTTACCAGTCCGTCGATATTCACTTTCCGTAAACAAACGGTAGTTGCCAGTATTCCACCTTAAACTTTACATTCTGAATAAAAAATAAACAATATCACGAAGTCCGGAAACAGATACTTCATCGAAAAGGATCCGTAACAGAGTCCGTCGGGATTCACCATCCGTAAACAAAGGGCACTCGCCGATTTCCGAAGGATAAACAAAGGCCACAAGTGTAATTTACTTGAAAAAAGTCTAGGGAAAAATAAAATGAAGGTAAATATCAAATACCATCGCGTGATAATTTTTTTTCGAGCAGCAGCACGAATGACGTCTAACACGCACAGACCGGAACCGAAACAGAGTGATTTACGAATTACCAGGTCTGACACCAGCGCAGCGAAATGAGAAATGAAGCCCGCCAAAATTTACCAGCCTCTCGGGATTCACCGTCCATAAATGAACGCCAGTTGTCAATATATCACCTTAAACATTAGATACTGAAGAAGAACTAAACAAAATGACAGAGTCCCAAAACAGATACTTCATCGAAGAGGATTAGTAACAGAGTCCGTCGGGATTCACCGTCCGTAAATGAAGTGCACTCGCCAATTTCCGCAGGATAAACAAAGGCCACATGTCTAATTTACTGGGAAAAGATCCGGGGAAAAGTAAAAAATGAAGGTAAACAAAAAGATCCGAGGAAAAATAAAAAATGAAGGTAAATAAAAGATCGTGTAAGAAAATTTTGTTAGAGTACCAGCACGAATGACAACGTCTGACACTCACAGACCGAAACCAAAACGGAGTGTGATCTACGAATTGCCATGTCTGACACCGGCGTAGCGAAATCAGAAATAAAGCCCGTGAAATTTACCAGTCCGTCGAGATTCACCGTCCATCTATGTGTCCATTCAACGGCCAACGGGTTCTGTACAACTCCGTTGTACCCGTTGTACACCCCCGGGGTCCCCGTTGAATCCCCGTTGAACGGTACAACGGAGGCTTCCCGTTGAAATCCGATCAACGGGTCGTGCCCAATGGGCCTCGGACACGTGGCAGGACACACGTGGAAAAAAAAAGTGAAAAAAAACAGTACAAAAACTACCCTCTGTGTGTGTGTGTGTGTGTGTGTGTGTGCGTGTGTGTGCGTGCGTATGTGATCGGGTGGGGTTGGGGGGGGCGCCCCATCCCCTACCAATCAATCAATCAATCAATCAAAACAGAAAAAAAAAATAAAAAAAAGAGAGGGGAAAACCCGCTTTTCACATTTTCTTTCCTTTTTTTTTTTTTTTTTTTTATTTATTGATTGGTGGGGGATGGGTCACCCCCCCAACCCCCACCCAATCACACACACACACACACACACACACACACACACACACACACACACACACACACACACATATTCTCTCGCCGAAGTTTCACGGGCTCCCCGCCCTCCCCGCCCACGCAACTTCGGCGAGAGAGTGAGTGAGTGTGTGTGTGTGTGTGTGTGTGTGTGTGTGTGTGTGTGTGTGTGTGATTGGGTGGGGGTTGGGGGGGCGACCCATCCCCCAACAATCAATCAATCAATCAATCAAAAAAGAAAAAAAGGCCAGGTTCGAAAGTGGGACTTCCCGATTTTTTTTTTCTTTTTTTTTCTCTTTTTTGATTGATTGATTGATTGATTGATTGATTGGTAGGGGATGGGTCTGGGTGGGGGGTGGGGGGGCGAACCATCCCCTACCAATCAATCAATCAAAAAAGAAAAAAAAGGGCCGGGTTCGAAAGCAGGTTTTCCCGCTTTTTTTTTTTCTTTTTTTTTCTCTTTTTTGATTGATTGATTGATTGGTTGGTTGGTTGGTAGGGGATGGGTTATGGTGGGGGGTGGGGTGGCGACCCATCCCCTACCAATCAATCAATCAATCAATCAAAAAAGAAAAAAAAAGACTGGGTTTTCCCACTTTGTTTTTTTCTCTTTTTTTTCTTTTTTGATTGATCGATTGATTGATTGATTGATCTGTAGGGGATAGGTCTGGGTGGGGGGTGGGGGGGCGACCCATCCCCTACCAATCAATCAATCAATCAATCAATCAATCAAAAAAAGGAAAAAAAAGGCCGGGTTCGAAAGCGGGTTTTCCCGCTTTTTGTTTTTCTTTGTTTTCTCTTTTTTGATTGATTGATTGATTGGTAGGGGGAGTGGGCAAGTCGGGATAGGGGTAGGTGGAGTGGGGAAGTCTGGATAGGGCGGGGTAGAGTCGGGATACGGGGAGGAGAGAAGTCGGGATAGGGATGGGGAAGTCGGATACTGTGTGTGTGTGTGTGTGTGTGTGTGTGTGTGTGTGTGATTGGGTTGGGG